TTATTTATGTTCTAGATCATTTTGTGTATAATTTTCAAGTAAGATACTGTGAATCACAATGATTTTGTGAATGGGTTGGGTGAATTCATAGCACTTATCAACATAGATTTGTATTAGTTTTTATCCACTAACCAAACCTTATGACCTTTCACTATTGAAAAAGTCCTTCTTTTCTTTGGAAGTCAATTGTTCGCACCAGTAAAATGTGAATTCTCTAAAAATCCTTCCAAATCTCAACTAAGTATGTTTGAAATGAAAGGGATTATCACATTTTTCATACTTTACTTGGTGTGGTGCTATAGAATAAACACTGGGCTGCTAGCCAAAAGGTTAGTCATTCAAACCCACCAGTTGCTCCTTAGAAACTCTATACAAGATTGCTACAAGTAAGAACAAACTTGACAGCGTTTAATAACACCAACCTAACTTAGTCTCCCATTTGCTCATTTGACAATATAGATAGTTCTTACCCAAACTGTGACTTACCTTCCTCCAGGAGTCCCTGAGTGGTGAAATGGGTACAATTCTCAGCTTTTAACTGAAAGCTTGTTGGTTTAAGTCCACCAAAATGTTACTTATAAGAAAGGCTTGGAGACTTCAGAAAAAACAGTCTTTGAAAATCCTATGAAGCTCATGCTACTCTGGCACACATCGAGTCGCCATGGGTTGGAATCAATCTACAGCCACTGTTTTTATCCTTGTATAATGTCTGTGGGCTAATGCACCAGACTGCAAAGCCGTTTGAACAGCAAGGTCAGTGGTTCAAGCTCACCAACTGCTCCTCGGAAACCGTATACAAGTTTGCTATGGGTAGGAAACGACTTGATGGCACTTAACAACAACAACAACAATGTCTAATAATTTATTATAATCTGATATGGAGGACTTTTTAAAAAATTAATTAACAAATAGTGTTGAATAGCTATTTGTTCTTTCCAATTCTAGCCCCATATCTTGATAGGTTAAATGTGCAAGACAATATCACCAATTTGTAGGTGAGAAAACGTAATCCCAGTGAAATGCAAGGGGTCTCCTGACTTCTGATCAAGTACATGTTCGTAACAGGATTCAATGCTACAGGGACACTGTTAGCAACTTTCTGGAAAACCCATGGCTCGTGTTTTGCTGTTAACAAAGCCCACTGCAACTTATTTTCATGTCAGTTAATTGCTCCTCAAAGGTGAAGCAGACATGATATCAGCCTACCTGTACGCTCTTCCCTTTGGGGAGTACTGTAAGGAAGAAGCTGCTTATCAGAAAGTGAGACTCTGGAGATCAAAGTCTAGGTATATAAAAAGGGGAAGGGTAAAACTAGAATGAGTGTCCAAAAGACACATGGAGACCAGTAAACAGAGGCCTGTTACAGGAGGAAACCCGGAAGCCTGCTGAGAATGAAAAGGCAGTTCCAAATGGAATCTTGAAACCAAGAAGGGCAAGAAGCTGAGGGAGCAGCAGGCAATGACGGCACTGCAGATTCACTTCCAAGGGAGCGAGAGGTGTCGTAAAGGAAATTCAGTTAAAATGTGTATTTATTGAAAGTATACTAGGGATCTTGGCAGAGAAAAGGCAGTTGAGCCCTTCTAATATCATTATGCTTTACAAATAAGTGGACCAGGGAAAAGAGGGAGTTTGTACTCTGCTTATCAAAATCAGTCTACCTCTCTTTTTGGGCCCAGGTGAGTTTCAGGCGCTACCTTAAGTCTAGTTCAAGTCATACAGGATTTGAAATGGTCAGATGAAGCTAATATATGAGTGCAAAGGTCCTCTGTGGAAAATAGCTTCTTTTTCCATTGTTGTTGTTGCTAAGTGCCCTTGAATCTGTTCTGACTCATAGCAACCCTGTATAGGATTTCCAAGGATCAACTGGTGAATTTGAACCACCGACCTTGCAGTTCAAACTGACCATGAAGTTGAGTGCTTATCCACCAGGACTCTAACCATCACATTTATTGTTGTTAAGTGCCGTTGAGTCGGTTCCGACCCATAGCAACCCTGTTGTTGTTGTTGTTAAGTGCCGTCGAGTCGGTTTCGACCCATAGCGACCCTGAATAGGGTTTCCGAGGCTGTAAATCTTTACGGGAGCAGATCGCCTCATCTTTCTCCCGCGGAGCAGCTGGTAGGGTGAGTTAATAGTACAATGCTTATCCAAAAAAGCCACAGCGAGCCCCAAGTACTACATGGTGTTTTAAGTGCCCTCTAGTCAATTCCAACTCATAATGACTCAATATATGGCTTCCAAGGAGTGGCTGGTGAGTTTGAACTGCCAAACTTATCGTTCAAAACTACCTTGAGGTCCAGTGTGTATCCTACAGTGCCACACTAGGATTCCAAGTACTGCATGTTGAATTGATGCCAACTCATAGTGACCCTGTATAGGGTTCCCAAGGAGCAGCTTGTGTGGTTTGAAATGCCGACCTTGTGGTTGGTTGCCAAGTTCCAATCCTACAGTGACACACCAGCAGTCCCAAGTACTGCCTTAGTTCTTAAATTTTGGCTAGGTGGTTGTATAGGAGGTTGCACCTGTGTTAAAGGCATTCCTGTTGTGTAAAGGTCAGTTATATTGCTGCTAGATAATACACTGTTGTTGATATTTAAGTTTTTAGTACTTAAAAACAGATAACAACAAATGTAAGAAAAGAAGAATAAAACTAAAAATAACTTCTCAAAAAACTACAATGGGTAATATGGTCTATAAACAGATGATCTGAAAGCACCGTATAAATCTAAGCAGATTTATTAATAGCTCAATTGAGCATTTGTATAAGACTCCAGAAGCTTCTGATTGCATTTTAAAAGTACAATGCTGAGATCTTTGATGGGAGAGATTAGGCAGGGTAAATTGTAACATGCTTAGATCCAACCTGACTCAGAGACATGAATAATGTCTGTGGGACATGTACTGTGGGAGCTTCAAAAACCAAGTGACTATTTTAGGGAAAGAGAAGAAAAGCTGTCTGAGTAGTAACATCTGAGTGAGCTCTTGAAACAGTAATAGTAATTTTTTTTTAGGAATCAGAGGAACAAGGCTGTTCTAAATGAAAGGGCTGAGTGTAAAAGGTAACAGAACAAAAATTTTTGGCTACAACACACTTTGATAGAATGAAATGATGCAAGAGGAGGCTAGAGCCTTAAGCTGACGCCATATGATGAGGCTCCTCTGTAATTATAGCTCATGCTAGTAAGTTTGGGTTTATCCCTGGGGCAATGTGGTTCAATATAGATTGGTAATCAAGGAAGAATCTAAGAAAACACTAATAATCATCTCCAAAATTATTTCAAAATCGATTATGCAGTTACATGTTGAAAAATTATTTCATTTATGTGGGGTTTAGATATTTACATAAGGTGACCAACTGTCCCAGTATTCCCAGGACTCTCCTAACATTAGTTCTAAAAGTCCCACCTACCAGGAGCATTTTCAGTCCCCAGAAAATATATTTTCATTAAAAAGAGTGATCACTGTGGCACCATAAAGATTGAGAGTGATAAGATATATGGACATAAGGCAAAACATGGTGTAAAAAGGGGATAGGAAATAGTCAATGGCAAACACAGCTACTAGATTATGTTTCCCTTGGCCAATAGGAGTCCAACTGGACACCAGATTCCATTCATTCCATTCTTCAAACTATCTGAAGGCTTCTGAGTGGTTCTGGATGGCTCCTGAGCTCTTAGAAAGAGCTGTTTCCAATTATAAACAGATTACTAGAAGATGGGAGGAAAGTGACACTCAGAATGACGTCCCTCACATGCAACAGCTGAATTTGTTTTACTCTTCCCTATCCAAGGCTTTTTGCAGACCTGTGCAACTGGGGAATCATATGGAATAATAATAGAAATATTTGATAGAAATAATGGCTAGCATTTGTTGAATAGTACTGTTCAAGGTGGATTGTGTGAATTTAATACAACAATCCTATGAATAGATATTATTTTTTCCTCCATTTAATAGCTGGGGTAGAGAAAAGTGAGTGGCTACTCCAAGATTATCAAAGAATATAAGTGGAAGAGCTAGAACTTTCAACTAGTCACTCCGACTTCAGAAGCTACACTCTATGTTGTTGTTGTTAGGTGCTGTGGAGTCGGTACTAACTCATAATGACTTTATGTACAACAGAATGAAACACTGCCGGTCCTGTGCCAATCTCACAAACATTGCTACACTCGAGCTCATTGCTGCTGCCACTATGCCAATCCATCTCATTGGGGGTCGTCCTCTTTTTCACTGATCTTCCACTTTACCAAGCATAATGTCCTTCTCCAGACACTGGTCCCATCAGATAATATGTCCAAAGTATAAGAGATGAAGTCTGGCTATCCTAGCCTCTAAGGAACATTCTGGCTGTACTTCTTGTTGGAAGAAGTTACTAATGCTCTGCTTTATTATGGGGATGTATGTATGTATGTATGGACTACAATTACCCAGAGGCAGAGAGAAGAGAATGTAATAGATTCTCTGAGGCTGCTTTTTTTTTTTTTAAAAAAAAACTGCTTTACTACTATCTTGAAGAATATTTAATGGCAGATGCAATTTTGAAATAGATATTTTGAAAGTAGATGTTTCTGTTTACACCTCCAAAGATTCTGAATATTATTAGGTCCAATTTGACTCTGCTAGTGTATTTTAAACAAATCTACATAGATTTTCATTAGGAACATTTATATTAGGAAAAATGATTCCAACTCTCTGGTTCTTAGAACTAGAAAGTTAGAAACCCTGGCACATACATTAGATGTTAAAGTAAAGGAAGATTACAAAACAGCCTTTTCTTTCATTGATTTAAATTTCATATAAGCATGCTTATTCTTCTATCAGGCATTTCCTTCCCTTTCGTTTATATACATGTAATCTGAGACATAGATTTGAAGCAATTGTTTCAAGGAGCAATTGTTCCTTGAAAGCAAGCATGATCTCAGAATCAGGTGTTGGGAGGAATGTGAAGTCTGAGAATGACAAATAGTGACAGGATCTCCTTTTTGCCCATATTTGAGGATGACGTATGCATGTACCATGTCTAGAGATTTTAGAAGATACTGAAACTGTACTTCTCCTACTTCTTTTAGCAGATGTGAACAACAAGGAAATGCAAATTGGAAACCAGACTTCCGTGTCTCATTTCATTTTGGTCGGCTTGCACTACCCACCGCATCTGGGTGTACCATTCTTTCTAATTTTCCTTGTTATCTATGTCCTCACTGTCTCTGGCAATGGGATCATCATCATCACAATCTTGGTGGACATCCGGCTCCACCGTCCTATGTACTGGTTCCTCTGTCACCTTTCCTTCCTGGATATGACCATTTCCACTGCCATTGTCCCCAAAATGCTGACTATCTTTCTCTTGGATAATAGAGTAATCTCCTTTGTGGGCTGTGCAATCCAACTCTTTTCTTTCCATTTCCTGGGCTGTACTGAATGCTTCCTTTACACACTCATGGCTTATGACCGTTTCCTGGCCATCTGTAAACCTTTACACTATGCCACCATCATGACCCGCAGCGTCTGTACTTACCTGGCTTTTGGCACCTGGTTTGGAGGCACCCTCCACTCACTCTTCCAAACAACTTTCATATTCCGGCTGCCCTTCTGTGGTCCAAACCAAGTAGACTACATCTTCTGTGACATTCCTGCCATGCTGTACCTAGCCTGTGCTGACACCACCATCAATGAGTTGGTCACCCTTGTGGACATTGGCTTCCTGGCCCTCACCTGCTTCGCACTTATCCTTACTTCCTATGGCTATATAGTAGCTGCCATCTTGAGAATCCGTTCTGCTGATGGGCGTCGCAATGCCTTCTCCACCTGTGCTGCCCACCTCACTGTTGTCATTGTTTATTATGTTCCCTGCACTTTCATTTACCTGAGGCCTAACTCACATGAATCTCTGGATGGGGTGGTGGCCGTCTTCTACACTGTCATTACTCCCTTGCTTAACCCCATCATCTACACACTCCGAAATAAAGAGATGAAGGCAGCACTAGGGAGACTGGTAGGACGCAAGGAGGTGCAGACTCACTGACTCCACCCACTGCGGACACAGAGTAGAAACTAAAATTCAGAACACCAAATAATTGGGCAGATTTATGACAAAAGGAGAACAAAAAATGTTTATAAAAAGAGTATGACTGCTAGGTTGTTGTTAAGTGCTGTCGAGTTGGCTCTGATCCATAGCAACCCTGTATAGGTTTTCTGAGGACCAGCCAGTGAGCTTGAACCACCGACTTTGCAGATCAAACTGCTTTGCAGTCTAGGGAATTAACCCACAGCGCCACACTAGGACTCCAGTATTTCTAGATAGAGAGGTGGAAACCCTTCAAAATTCCACTTTATAATCCACTCCCAGAATATGATTTCCCAAATTTCTTCTTTCTGTAGCAATACAAAGAAACCAAAGCAATCAACAAGAATAGCACCATTAGAAAAGATCCAAGATAAGTAAAATGTCCATATAAAAGGTGATTTTTCTGTGGTATCCATTTGCATATATACCATAGCATCTAAATCCTACACTGATGATGGAATGACTCTTGTTAGTTGCTTTCAGATTGCTCTCTGACTCATGATGAACGTAGGCTCAATGGGATCTCACTGTTGTGATCCATCAAGTTGTCATTGGCTGCCTTTCAGATTTAGTTGTTCAATCCTTTCTTCCCAGTAAAAGCTCCACTGACTTCTGTTCAACATCATAGCATATGCACACCTCCACTGACAGATGTGTGGTGGATACACTTGAGACACATTGTTAAGTAATTGAAACAAGGTTTCTCTCAAGAAAAGTGAGAATTCTACCACTGAGACCCTTGAATAGCTCTTAGTGTTAAGTGTTGTAGAGCTGATTCCCTATATCCTGTGTAGGGTTTCTGATGAGTGGCTAGTGATTTTCAATGGCCAACACTGTGATTCAAAAAACCATTTAGTGCTTATCCTACAGAGCCACACCAGGACTCCTGAATAGATCTTGTTGTTGTTGTTGTTGTTAAGTGCCGTGGAGTCCTTTTGACTCATAGCAACCTGTTTAGAGTTTCCAAGGAGCAGCTGGTGAGTTTGAGTTTGAACTGCCGACCTTGTGTTTCAAACCAACCTTTCAGTCCAGTTCAATATCATACAATGGCACACCAGGATTGTAAATAGCTTTCATGCAAAATACCTGATTTGACCTTGGCAACAGTCATGTGAGATAGGTAGGATTATTGACTGATTAGAAGAGATCCGTATTTGTGCCCATTCCAAAGACAGGTGACCCAACGGAATGAGGAAATCATCGGACAATCTCTTTGATATCCCATGCGAAGAAAGTTTTACTAAAGGTAATACAGAAATGCTGCAAACATCCTTGACAGAGAACTTCCAGAGGTTCAAGCCAGATTCAGAAGATGCTGTGGAATGAGGGATATCATTGCTGATGTCCGATGGATCTTGGCTAAAAGCAGAGAATAACAGAAAGATGTTTACCTATGCTTTATTGACTACATAAAGGTTTTCGACTATGTGATTCATGACAAACTATGGACAACATTGTGAAGTGTGAGTATTTCGGAACACTTAATTGTGCTCATGAGAAATCTGTACGTGGACCAAGAGGCAGTTGTTTGAACAGAACATGGGAACACTGAATGGTTTAACATTTAAAAAGGTATGCAAGAAGATTGTATTCTCTCACCATATTATTCAACCTGTATGCTGAACAAATGATCCGAAAAACTGGGTTCTATTAAAAAAAAAAAAAACCACCTGGCATCAGGATTGGAGGAACCTGATTAACAACCTGAGATATGCAGATGATACAACCTTGCTTGCTGAAAATAAGGGGACTTAAAACA